TTAAAGGAAAATGCTACAAAATGGCTTGCTCTGAAAAGAGCTATTTTTGACAGGGTAAAAAAGGTGTTTTACACTACCATTGAGACATTTTAACCAAACTATGTTACAGACTTTTCATTAAGACCCTAAAGAATCATATCAACTTGTGGAAAATGGACATCCGATGATCCCTTTAAAAGTTCCATAAAGTAATATTTTAGTACCACCATATTTGTAAAAGTGCCTCGAAATGTGCACCATAAAAAAGTCAAATTTTGACAGTAAAATTTACAGTAAAAACCATCAGCTGTGGTTAGACTGACAATGTTTCAGGCATTACGGGATGACATTTTCGTAACTGTGCCATATTTTGTACACACACATCATCATTTAAAAAATATGCAAACTAAAACACATTTTTAAAAAAATAAACATTTAAAAAAGTGTAATGATATTTTTAACTATACTGCATGGTTAACTATATTGAATTATTGATACATATATTTACATTTCAATTTTAAAATATAAAGAAAATATTGGTTAAGAATCTGTTAAATCATTTAAACTGACAGTTTGAATAAGTTTGAGACAGAGAATCTAACTAACAATTCTGGTTCTTAAATGATTCCATCAGGGAAGCATTTTTAAACTATAGCGACAACGGAATAGTGGAGGAAACACATTTGAAGAATGTAGAAATTCAAGTACTGTTAAATGAACTAAACACTGTGAAAGTCTTTGATTCTGGTATTTTATTTAAATTCACACACGTTCTGAATACATTTTATTATTATTATTATTATTATTATTATTATTATTATTATTATTATTATTATTATTATTATTATCATTAGAATCAGAGTTTTCATTTAATGTAATTATCCAAGTAATGTTCTCATGATGTGTAATCTAAAATGTATTTTTATCTACTGAACCTTTCAAAATAGTGGAGGAAATCCTATGATTGGCTCAATAATTTCACATCTCAATCACATCACCGAACTTTTGCATGTATTAAAGTGCCCCTATTATGCCATTTTTAAGGTTACTAATATTGTTTTATGAGGCTCCTAAAACAGGTTTACATGCATGCAAGGTCAAAAAACACGTTAGTTTTCTCAAAAACAATTATTTAATTTTACCTAATTTCTAAATGATTAAAGTGCCCCTATTATGCCATTTTTAAGGTTACTAATATTGTTTTATGAGGCTCCTAAAACAGGTTTACATGCATGCAAGGTCAAAAAACACGTTAGTTTTCTAAAAAAAAATAGA